CTTCCTTCCTTCCTTCCTTCCTTCCTTCCTTCCTTCCTTCCTTCCTTCCTTCCCATGTTCAGGCTCTGAAAATGCTTTTCTCATTCCAGGACGCTATGCCTTGGTGGTCTGTGGGGACATCGCTGTCTACGCTACTGGGAATGCCCGGCCAACAGGTGGAGCAGGAGCTGTAGCTATGCTGGTTGGACCAGATGCCCCTCTGGCTTTGGAGAGAGGTTGGTATCCAGATTCTGACTGAACAGCTGGATTCTTTGCATAGCCAGCAATTTCGGACACAAACCCTTTTTCTTGCTGTTTTTTGTGGTACCTGTTCTTCTGTATTGGCTGAAGGAGGCAGAAAGGCGGCAGGAGACATGGTTTCTTTGCAAATGGGAATAATTTTGTCGAGGAGGTTCCAGAACTCCATTTCAGCCTGCCCACAGAATAAAAGCCCTGGAGGACCATGACTTGTGTTAGAGCAATGCAAATACAGTTTATGGCTGCCAACTCCAGGTTGTGAAAGTTGTGAAGATTTGGGGTGGGGGTGTTGGGGTGTTGGGGAAATGAGGGGTGCGGGAACCTTTTCATGCACTCCCATTCCCACTGTGCTCATTTTGAGAAGGAGAGACGCTGGCTTCCCAATTGCAGAGAGAGAGAGAGAGAGAGAGAGAGAGAGAGAGAGAGAGAGAGAGAGAGAGAGAGAGAGAGTTGTTCTAAACCAAAACTAAATTTATTCCATTACACATTCTTAAGTCAGAAAACATTTTTGTAGCATTTCAGTATTCAGCACAGAATATTTCAACACAACCCCAATACATAAATAATGCACTTGTAATTCTATGAAGGATATCCTTGGTTGCTCTGTCAAAACTAAATCCAGACATTAAGACTCCTTTTCCAACCATAGGGGCTAATGTAACTCTCCCCGTCAAGTCTGTGACGAGGATTTGACATACATCTGACGTATACAACAAAGTGAGCCGATTCTTTCTATCTCTAGGGTCAGGAAGGTCGGGGAAAGCTGGGTTAAGCTAGGTTGACTCAGAGGGTCACGGTTGACTAAGGGAGTCCCAGGAAGCTAGTTTCAGATACTCTATTTAGAATGTAATAGTGTATAAACATTCCAAAAGGCAAACGTCATGTAAGGCAGAAGTCATGTACAGAGTTATCCTGAAGGCCACCGCACTTAGCGGAGTCCTGAAGCCTCCTGGGAAACAGAACCATAGATTCAACTATAGAGGCTAATTGCTATAGAAAATAAAGTATCATAGGTGTACCAGAGGTTTAGCAGAGGACTGAGACTCAATCCAGCCCTTATTCGGTGACAGGTGGAGGCTAGGGTTTGGGGAAGGGACCTCAGCGGGGTACAATGCCATACAGTCCACCCTCCAAAACAGCCATTTTCTCCTGGGGAATTGGTATGTATAATCTGGAAATCAGTTGGAATTCTGGAAGAATTGGTGCTCACCTTTAAAGCCCTGAATGGCCAGGGTCCGGCCTACCTAAGGGACCGCCTCTCCCCATACATTCCCCCAAGAGCACTGTGATCGGGGAATCTCCATTGCCTGGAGGTTCCAGGCCCCCGGGAAGTGAAGTTGACCCAAACCAGGGCTAGGGCGTTCTCGGTGGCGGCTCCCACCTGGTGGAATGAGCTCCCGGAGGAGATCCGGGCCCTGCGGGACCTAGT